CGATTTCTAATTGTTGTTTTTGTATGATTTATAGTTGTGAATTTATTTTAGCATTTTGTTCTTGTATTATTTTCTTGAATTCTTCCACTTTTTTGTCTGTATTTTCCATGAATTTGCCTTTTCCATGAATTTGTCTATTTTTTCCTCATTTTTGTCTGCTTTTTGCTTCATCTCTTGGATAATTCTGAATATTAGAGATTTTAATTCCCTATTAGGTGTCCTAGTGCCTTTTCTTCTACTGGAAAGTCATCTGGTGTTTTATTTTGGACACCTACTGGAACCATCCTGTCCTGTTTTTGTAAATGTTTTGATATTGTCTGCTATCTTCGGGGAATTCAGTGGTTATTTTCCTCATATATTGATTGCAGATTTGTTTGTTTTGTCATGCTTTTTTGTTTTATTTGGTTATGTCTGTGTAGGCAGGCTGTGCATTCTTTGATGTTTGCTCATCTGCGGGCATGATACTTTCACTTCCTTCAATGGGCTGGGTCAGTCACTCAGGTATGGTACAGCAGGGCAGGTCCAACTGAAGGGGAGTTTCTGGGATGGGTTGTTTGTGGCTTGTACTTGGGCCGACAGGACTGGCCGGGAATCAGTGCAGGGCAGGTTCCATTAGTCCGTGCCTGTGCTGCTTGGTGGGGCAATGTTCAGTGCACAGTGCAGGTAGGCAGGAAAGAGGGGGGAGATTGTGAAGTGTGGAGCTAAGATGGGTATGGGAAAGAAGAGGGAAGAACAGGAGCCAAATACATACACACCAACAAAAAAGGGTGCTAAGGTATCTTACTACTGGAGTGGAGAGATTAGAGACTGAGAAATGTAGAAAAACAAAAATAAAAACAAGAGAAAGGATAAAAGAAAAAAAAATGAATAAATAGAGAAACTGGAAATGAAGAAAGACAAAAAGGGAAAAAGAGAGAGAAGAAAACAAAACAAAGAAACAAACAAAAAGAAAAAAAGAAATGCCCCCAGGGATGTCACTGTTCGTATGCACAGCGTAAGGGAGTATCTCCCAAGCTGTGCTTCACTATCCAGACAGAGGGGGCTCCCAAGTCGAGAAAGGAGAAAGAAAACAATCAAACAAACAAATCAAGACAGAAAAAAATCAGAACAAACAAACAAACAACAACAAAAAAGCCTGGTGGTCCCACCAGGGAGACAGCATGGGCTGGGAAGCAGTTCCACAGTCGAGCAGCACCTCACAGCCCCCCAGGGAGAAGCAAAGATGACCACGGATCCAGGTATTTGAGAGAAAGGAGGTGGAGGTGGTAAGAGGTAAGGTAGAAATCTAATGAAGTGGAAAAAAGCAACACCAGCAGCGAACAAATGGCATTCAGGGAGCCAGCTAGTATGGGCTGGTGGAATTCAAGCGACACCGGGGTGAAGCCGGTCCTTCCCGGCCAAGAGACTGTGGCTGTGGGAAGCAGAGGAGGCCAAGTGGGGGTGAAGAAGGGTGGGTGGTGGGAAAGTGTGTATTGTTGGTTACCGGTTGTTCTGTCTCCTGCTGGAAGCTCCGTGAAGCTGCTTTCTCATACTTCCTGTTTGCCTATCTCTGATAGGAGTCCAAGATGGTGGATCCATGCTGTGGTAGCTGATAAGGGACCTCTGCATGTATCTCTCCTCGCTCTCTGCTCTCTGTCAGTTTTTTGTTCCATCTGGTGCTTTGCTGAGTTTTTTATCTCTTCATTTGATGCTTAGGGTTTCAGGACTGATGTGTAACTCTATTTGACTTAGTTTTTCAGATCGTTGCTGTATAGGGATGGTGTGGTGCTTCTGACTATGGCGTCATGTTTCCCAGAAGTCTCATTTCTAATTCTTATGTGCTAAACTTATCAGTACATTGTTCTAAAAATGCTGCTTGATGTCCCTAGTTTTACATGCTGCTCTTTTAAACCTTTGAAACAACCTCCTCAAGCCTCCCAACCTCCACATTTATTTAAAAATAAATACTCGTAGCCACCCTGCAGATGTAAATTTAAAATTTGCAAACCTTCCAGGTTCTAATGCTTTTCAAACTGAACAAACAATGCTCTGAGTTTAAATATTTAAATGTCACTGAGGGGAGAAATAAAAAGACAATAGGAGAAATGAAAGAGCAAAGCTAAGGCCAAGGCTATAGGAAAACAAAAGGCCATTTGAGAGCATAGTACAGCCTGTGAGATTTAAAAAGGAGAGCGATAGCTTAAATTTAGGATTTTCCAGGCTTTTCTGAGACCTACGTCTTTGAGTACACACACTGTTGCTGTGTTTATATTAAAATTGTGCTTTGTGATGTTCCTTATGTATATTTAACACATTATATAAAAGTTTGGGACTATGGATGAATCTCCCTTATTTTAAGAGGGAAATCTTAGCAGTGAACCATTATAAAGAATTGCTTCAAAACACTTACATAAAGTCAAAATGCCTCTCGAAAGAATTCTAAGCTTAGACAACTGTGTATTTAGGATCAAATCAGTACTGTCTGGGATTGGAAACATTTGTAAAGACATCTGACTTAACCAAATATATAGAATTCGACGTGTTTTACTATATAATGTAAATCCAAAATTCCACCTGAGTTTAGACAAAATCCCCAAAGAGGACTATGTCTTTGAGTACACACACTATTGCTGTGTTTATATTAAAATTGTGCTTTGTGATGTTCCTTATGTATATTTTAATATTCTTGTTAATATGACTTTATAATACTGACATTTTCAATTCCAATATCTGAGGTCTTTATGTGAAGAATGTTAAGCAGATTTATTGGCTTTATCTTTGCTTGTGATAATTAAAGAAACCTTAAATGACATCCCTAGTAACAAATCCAGTCTCTCATTTGGTAAGTACTGCTCACGTCATAAGGAGTCCTGGTAGCACAGTGGTTAAAACACTTGGCTACTCAGTGGGCAATTCGAACCCACCAGCTGCTCTGTGGGAGAAAGATGTGGCAATCTGCTTCTGTAAAGATGACAACTTTGGAAACACTTTGGGGAAGTTCTACTCTGTTCTGTAGGATTGCTGAGTCAGAATTGACTCGATGGCAATGGGGTAACAGGGCTCACATCGATTTTGTAAATTAAGGGTAAATTTTTAGATCATTTATTTCCTACATCAGTCCATGTATATTTTTTCAAAATGTATTGAGGTTTAATTTACATACAATAAAATGCATGCTTTTTTTTTTAATGTAAATTTTGATTAGTTTTGACTGAATTAAACACCAAATTAACTAGTACTCCAATCAAGACATAGAACATTTCCATCACCCCAAAAGTTCCCTTGTGTCCCTTGGCAGTCAATTCCCCCAAGTCCCTGCCTTAGGTAACCACTGAGTTGACTTTAGTCACTATAGATTATTTTGCCCTTTCTAGAATTTCATATGAATAAAATCATACTGGGGTGATTTTGTCTTTGCGTGTCTAGCTTCTTTTGCTCGGCAACATGTTTTTGAGATCCACCTGTTTTGTTAAGTATCAGTAGTATGCTCCTTTTAATTGATGAACAGTAGTCTGTTGTTTGAATATACAATTTATCTATTTACCTGTTGATGGACATTTGGTTATTTCTACTTTGGAGCTATTATGAACAAAGCTGCTATTAACATTTGTGTACAATGTACATTTGTGGACGTATGTTTTCACTTATCTTTGGTAAATATCTAGAAGAACAGTTTCTGGATCATATGGTTAGTTGTATGTTTAACTTTATAGGGAACTGCCAAACTGTTTTCCACCGAAGTGCTTTTACCATTTGACAGTCCCTTCATTAATGTACAACCTCGCCAACACTTGACATTGTCAGTCTTTTTGATTTTAGCCCCTGTAATGGTTGTGTATTGGTATCTTATTGTGGTTTAATTTTCTTTTCTGTAATAAAGATATTGAGCATCTTTTAATGTGCTTATTTTCTATTCATATGTCTTCTTTTATGAGTTATCTGTTCAAATATTTTGTTCATTTTGAGGTGGGTTGTTTGCCTCAGAATAGTGTTGTAAGAATTCTTTAAACAGCCCAGATATAAAATATTTGTCATATATATGTATGGCAAACGTTTTCTCTCAATCTGTAGCCTGAATTTTCACTTATTCTTACTGGTGTTTTTAATTTTGATGAAGTCCAATTTATCTTTTTCCTTTATGATTAGGGATTTTTGTATCCTAAGAAATCTTTGCCTACCTCAAGATTACGGATTTACTTCTATGTTTTCTTTTAGATATAGATTATAAGCACACCCTATACATTCTCATGTTTAAATTTTCTAATGCCTGAAGAGTACTTACTTCTTGTATAATTTCTAGAATTAATCACACATTCTTATACTAGTGTAAATATATCAAAAGTGCCCATCTCTTCAAGTTCAACCTTGACCAAGTTTTAGCTCCAAAAGAATGAGGTCCACTGTCCTTTTGATTTCCTTCCTGTCAATTTGGAGATGATCATGACCAATGTTTTAATACCAGCCATTGAGTGTCCAGACCAGGTATGCCCAAGTGTGTTTAGCCATTGCCATCTTCCCTCTTCTACTCAAGGTGAGCTATTTATGTACAGATCAAAGAGATGTGAGTCTGGGCAAATGCCCTGTAAGTAATAAAGCAAGAAGATCCTTTTTCTCCTGATGAGCATAAACTCGAAGGTTCTCAACAGACATTCTGGTGTTCTAGCACTCTGCTTCAAGGAATGCCAAACCACCAACTGACACACTTGTCTCCACCTTGAGAAACTAGCATATTCATTGGAAGATAGCCTTATGGAACTTCTGTTCTTCATAATTGGGAAAATAAAAGTGTTCTAAAAGTCAGGAAATGGACTGACAAAGTAATTAATTAAGTTTTCTCTATAAATTCTTCTTTTGGACTGAACACTCAGTGACTGAAATATTAACCATTTGGTTTTATTTTACTGTGTTACAAATATAGTTTGACTTTTTTTTTTTCCTGATTCTTTAAGTTCCATTGTGCAAGAGAACCATGTCTTTAACATGCTAATACAAGTAAATACCTTATATAGGTAAATACTTACCCTTGACTGACAGGTGTCTCCATGTCACAGTTGGCTCAGGTCTGCCAACAGCAAGACACAGTAGGGTCACACTGCTTCCCTCATTCACGGTGATGTCTGAGGAGATATTCATGATCTGTGGAGGAACTGTAAAGAGGAGAAAAGAAACATCTCAGAATTATTCTTTTCACTTAAAAAGAGGTTTAAGCCTATACACATTTGTGCAGCATATTTTTATGGTGAATAGTATTCTCAGTAATATTTTTCTTTGGCTTGATTTGCCAAAGATGTAGATGAGGACAACATTTACATGTTCTTGAAGTAGAAGGGGAGCCCTGGTGGTGCAGTGGTTAAGAGCTTGACTGCTAACCAAAAGATTGGCAATTCGAGTCTACCAGCTGCTCCTTGGAAACCCTATGGGGCAGTTCTACTGTGTCCTATAGGGTTGCTATCAGTCAGGTTTGTGGGTAGTAGAAAGAGCTCTGTAGCACGGAAGCTGATGTGTGTGTAGGAGAGGAAGCAGAAGAACCAAAGACAGACATTACTGCTTATTGATTGAAAGGCAAAACCAAAGGTAAAATGCTTATAGAATTTTTCAGGATTTGCTAGCTACCCACATGTTCATTCCTTTTAGTGGAAAGGCTGGATTAAGCAGATAACCATGAGTCTTTCCCATTTCAGCCCCTTTTTCCCCAGTAACTCACTCAAAAAGCCGGTCTCCCTAGTTAGGTACCATTTCTTGAGCATTCCAGACCCTTCCAAATTCTTCCAACTCCCATGCTAGGATGTACTCATTTCTTTACATAAAAATTCCTACTCAGCTCTTAAAACATATTCTTTAAAACTTAGAATTTTCTCTGACTCCCTAGGTCAGGGTTATTTGCTTTCTTTCCTAGTTCCCACCAGCAATGTATTCATGTCCCTGCTGTTATTGTACCATAAATTATTATAAATAGCATTTTTAATGGAATCGTATCCCAGTGGTTAGGAGCAGGACTCTGGATCCAGATAGACAAAGGTTTGAATCTTAGCTCAGTTCCTTATCTGCTGCGTGACCTTGGGCAAGGTAAATTGTCTTCACTTCTTTGAGCTTTGGTTTCCTCATCTGTGAAATGAAGAAACCATTTCACAGATGAGATGATAGTAGTAGCTAAACTCAGCATGTTATGAAGTCAAAATGAAATAGTGTAAGGAAAGGCTTAGCAGAGTGCCTGATATAAAGTAAGCACTCAGTAAATGTTATCTACTAAAATGCTGATGGTGATGACGACAGCAGAAACAGCACGTCTTTCAAAATAGACTGTGTCTTCTCATGGGCGATGACCATGTTCGATTATCTTTAATGCTACAAAGCCTAAAGTGATACGTAGTCTTGCTGTACCACTATGTGCCACCTGGAGGCCCTGATTTTTAATATACCTCAAAGTTCAATATTGGAAAATACCTAGAGTCTTTCCCAACACTTATTACTCATTGCCATTATCCTGGTTTAGTTTCTTACCAATTTTCACATGGACAACTGCATAGCCTCTCACCTGGTCTCTTTCCATTTTTAGTTCCTTCCAACCTCTCCTCTGCATGTGGCCAGAGTGATCTTTTTAGGTAACAGTCTAATCAACTTACTGCCCTATTTATTCCTTGTTTCACCATGACTTACTAGGTTTAACACACAAACTCTTCTGCATGACCTAATTCCTCTGCAGTCTAGCCCCTGTCATAGTTATCTAGTGCTACTATAACAGAACTACCACAAGTAGGGGACTTTAACAAACAGAAATTTATTTTCTTACAGTTTAGGAAGCAAGAGGTCAAAATTCAGGGAGCCAGATCTAGAAGAAGGTTTTCTTTTTTTGGCAGCTCTGGGGGAAGGTCCTCGTCTTTTCTTCAGCTTTTGTTCCTCAGTAACTTGTCGATCTTCAGGTGGCATGTATCTTCTGCTCTGTTTGTGCTTCGTTCTCTGTGCCTAATCTATTCTTTTTGTATGTCAAAGATGATTGGCTTAAAACACACCCTACACTGACATGGCCTCATTAACATAACAAAGAAAGTCCTATTCCTAAATGGGATTACATCCACATATATACATGTTTTTGGGGACACAATTCAATCCATAACACCCCCAAACCCACTTTTGAGCCTCATCTCCAGGCATGCTTCCCCCTGACACAGCACATCACAGACACTGGACCCCTTACTCCACTTGAACATGCCAAAAGCATAAGCCCTTCCATAACTTTGTTTCTCCTCATCTGCCCCTGAATCTCTACCTGAAAAGAAATGACTTAAATGCTACCTCTCCTCTGTAGTTTGCCCAAACCTCTCCCAAAATCCTGAGGGCAGCCTCAACCATCTCCCCCAAGGTATTTTGTCCAAATCTGCCTCTGCGAGGGAACTGAGCATGCTGCATTGCAGTTGATTGCTTTGTACTCATTTCTTTATATAAAGAGTGAGGTGCTTGAGGATGAGGATGGAACTGTATACATCCCTATTTCCTCAGTGTCAAGCACAGAGGCTGGTAAGAGTCTATGCTTCATTTCACTTTGGAAGGAAGATCCAATAAACAGATTGAACAAATCCAAAACACAAAGGTAAGTAACGCTTCTCAAATGGAAGACGTCACATACCTAAAGCTTTCTTCCCAATTTTCTTTCAGATCCTCAAAACAAAAGGAAAATTCACTTGTGCAAACAACCTAAATATCCATCAACAGATGACTAGATAAACAAAATGCGGTACATACATGCAATGGAATATTATTTAGCCATAAAAAATGAAGTCCTGATACATGCTACAACTTGGATGAACCTTGAAAACATTATGCTTAGTGAAATAAGTCAATTACACAAAAGACAAACATTGTACTATCTCACTTATATGAAATATCTAGACTAGGCAAATGTATAGAGACCAAAGTTTATTGGTGGTTATCAGGGGTGGGAGGTAAGAGACAGGGGGAGCCATTGTTTGGGAAGCAGTGAGTTTTTGTGTTTAGTGATGGGAAATTTGCCATTGACTGAGGATAACCACTGCATAACATAACTAAGGTAATTGATAACACTAAATTATACAACTGAAAAAAGTTGAATTGGCAAATATTGTGTTGCACGTATTTTTACAACAATAATTAAAAAGAGTCACAGAGGGAGGTGGCACCAGACCTATAGTTATGCTGATGTATTGTTACTGCAGGTTTAATTCTGATTTATTAATTATCAAGCAGGTAGAGCTCCAGTAGACTGCAAACCACCCAGAGTGTGTGGCAAAGGAGAATTATGGCCTGCATGCGACAACAATGCAGCCTGGAGTTTTATGCTGTCGAGCCCTTAGAGGTAACTCTTGTTAAGGAGAAGCCGTAAGTAACAAGTAGAACATTTGAGCTCTTAAGGGGATAAAATTAGCAAATAAATAAAAATTACCTTGCTTATAAATCTGTCATATTTTAGACTTTTTCTGCATTAGGGTTTGTCCTAAAATTTCAGTGCACATGTTTTACTCAAATATACTCTGAGAAAAAAAATGGGGTACACTCTAACTACACTGCATTCTCTTGAGAAAACTGCACTACCTGTTTTTCAGCATTTTCTAGCTTGTTAAAAAATAGTTCTGGGTTTAGAAATGTCAATATTTTTTTCACTTCTGTAAAGCAACAACTTCAGTGCACCTTCTAAAATATTCTCAAAATATTGTCGACTTTAGCTAGATGCACTATGCTTTCTGAAGTTCTCTTTCTCTAGAGCCCAGAGCCTCGCTGGTAGTGAGGCAGATGCACCTGAGGAGGCAGTGAGGTGAGAACACTGCAGCAATGATGTTCCCAGATGGTTCTCTCAACCCGGCCCTCTGACTCAGAGCCGTTCTTTTCATAGACATTATGTTTCATCTGACAGTTTAAGGCATGTTGGATTAAGAGATGTCTGTAAAATTACTTGGGTGTCTAGTGCTACCTATTCATTCCCCAGGTGCCTGGTCAGTGTTAGCCATTAGGAGGGAGCTCCCTGGAATTAAATCCCAAAATGTAACCCAGACTTTCTCATTAAGATCCAGCTTTCTGGCATGCTTAAAGGAAGATAGATAAGTATAGTTTCAAGGGTTTGAGTAACCAATGAGAAAGGAAATGCAGAGAATGAATTGGAAGAAAGGAAGATTCTTTCTGTTCTCAATTAGGATATCCATGGAAATGAACATTATTATATACTTTTGATATTTTCAAAAAGACTCCACATGCATTATTTCACGTGCTCTGCACAAAGCATGAGATGAGTAGAACAAACACCCCACTTAAAATAAAGAAACTGAGGCATGGGGAAGGTTAAGTAAATTGCCTAAAATTATAGGGTTACTAAATGGCAGAGCTCTTTCCATCATATTATGCTGCTTCTTTGTTTAACACTTAGCAATTCCGCAAACACAATATTTATATCCCCAAGTCTTTACATATTGTTTCCTGGGCTTCAAATGTCCTCTCAGAGCCTCCTCCCTCATAGCACTTACCACGATGAACAAAACCATCGCATTCCAGGCGCCGTCCCCAGTACTCTGCAAAGTCCTTGAGGACAGGGAACAGTCATAGCCATGGGAGCTTCTCCAGGCCATGTGCATTGTTTGCCAAGGCAGATAATCAATACTTTTAAAGCTGAATTAAATTCAGTAATACTGTCATAACCCTCCCCTTTTTTGCATAATAATTTTTTGAAGAAAGGAGCAATTGGGAAGGACTTTAAATGCTTCTCTGCATTTAGAAAGGAGATAATTGTTCAATATGCAGAAAAGTATCTGTCACTAATAAGTCTGTATATATTGTTATTTAATATATAAACAAACACAAAGAAACAAGTCATAATCCGTTTTAGTCATCTACTGCTGCTCTAACAGAAATACCACAGGTGGATGGCTTTATCAAAGAGAAGTTTATTCTCTCACAGTCCGGTAGGCTATAAGTCCAAATTCAGGGCATCAGCTCCAGCGGAAATCTTTCTCCGTCAGCTGTGGAAGAAGGTCCGTGTTATCAATCTTCCTTTGGTCTGGGACCTTCTCTAAGCAGGAACCTCAGGTCCAAAGGATGCACTCTGCTCCCAGCACTGCTTTCTTGGTGGTATGAGGTTTCCATGTGTCTCTGCTCACTTCTCTCTTTTACATCTCAAAAGATATTG